TCCCTTGTGGTCGGTTTCTCTTTCTTTCTTTTTCTCCCCCTCTTCTTCTCTCTTTTCGTCTCTTCCCCTCTCTCTGTTTTCTTCTCTCTCTTTCTCTCCCCTCTCTTTTTCTTGTCCTCCTTTCTTCTCTTTCCCCTCGGGGTGCCTTGGTTTTCTCCTGGCTGGTAGTTGAGGTTTACCTCCTACCCGCGCGCTTCATTGTTTGGCTTTTAGCGTTTTTTTCTTGATCTGGAGGGGTCTCCCCCCTCTCTATAAAAAAAAACCCTAAACCCTAAACCCTAAACACTAAACCCTAAACCCTAAACCCTAAACCCTAAACCCTAAACCCTAAACCCTAAACCCGTCCCCATCCGAAGTGATGTTGGTTGGGGATGGAGAAAGATCCTTGGCATGAGGGAAAAGATTAGAGACTGCATTGTCTCCCAGATTGGTAATGGCGCTTCCACGTCCGCCTGGTACGACAACTGGCACCCGGTGGGTCCCCTCTACCGGCATTTATCTTSCYGCAGTATCATTAATTCTAATCTCCCTCTTTCTGCTCCTGTGAAGGATATCATCTCTCAGGGTTTTTGGAACTTCCCTCTCCTGAGGGAAAGTCCCAAACCTTTAATCCGCGATTCTCCTCTTCCTGTCCTTTCCTCTAATACCCCTGATAAACTCCTCTGGAGAACCAGGGATGGTCGGCTCACGCCGTTCTCTGTTCATGAGGTCTGGCTCTCCCTCTGTCCTAATGAGCCGGATGTCTCCTGGCATCACTTGGTCTGGTTTTCCCAGAATATTCCCAGACAYGCGTTTATTCTGTGGGTTGCCCTCAAGCAGCGTCTCAAAACGCATGACAAGCTTCGGTTCTGGGAGGGCCACTCYAACCTGTCTTGTGCTTTCTGTCAAAACGGGCCTGATTCGCATTCTCATCTTTTCTTTGAATGCCCGTTTCCTAATCAGGTTTGGAATGGCTTAAAAGCCAAGCTTAACCATTCTGGTGTCCCGGATACCTGGGCTGATATCATTGGTGTTTTCCAGCAAGCCACCAAAGGAAAGACCGTCTGGTCTATTATTYGCAGATTAGTGCTTGCTGGAACTGTCTACCACCTGTGGCAGGAAAGGAATAATCGCATCTTCAAAAATAAAAGACGATCGTATATTATGGTGGTTAA